TAAAATCTTTAAAAAAAAAGATCCCCTTTGCTTTCTATCACCAAATTTTATTGCTGAGGTGTGTTCTGTCGAAACTGATTTATAATAATGCATGAAAATATCTAACTAAAATTTTTATTTTGTTTATGCTAGTTCTAATAAACCTTTCTTATTCAGTTGAGAATTAACATTTAAAATTTTGTAAGTCAATTCAGCTTGGTACCATAGTGTTTCATAGGAGAAATAACAAAATAGTCACTACTGGGTTCTATCCTTAGCTCCTCTATCATTTTCTAATGTTGAATTTCTTTAAAAATATGTCATTTAGATAAGAGCTGTGAAAGTGAGTATGCCCTAAATATAAAGCTCAAAGATTTTTTCTAGTATCTCTTCTTAACAAAATGAGACACTGGAATTCCTTCCTTCCTTCCTTCCTTCCTTCCTTCCTTCCTTCCTTCCTCCCATTCTTTCCCTCTCTCTCCCTCCCTCCCTCTCCCCTCCTTTCTTTTTTTCTTTATTATTATTTTTGTCACAGTGGGATATGACTAGTTACTCACCAAAAGACATCACTTGTTACCGTGAAACCTATTTGTGGCCACTTATATTTGATAAGCATCCCATAACCACTCTGATTTTTGGCAGAATCACCTAAGTAACCTTAGCTTCTGTTTCTAGAAGCAATTTAAAGCAATTCAAAACTTGCTTTATTTATTAGCAAAGAGAGGACTAAAATGAGATGACATTTTCATTAACGTATTATTTCAGTTTTCAAGATGCTTCAGATCTTGCAAAATATCCTAAATGGGAAATGCAATCTCTAAAGAACTTAGCTATTCAAGCAGGCATGTTCATTCATCCAATGTCCCTTCACTTATCTGATTCTAACTGGGGGCCACCTAGGTGAAAGGCCCAGTCCCTGTCCCCAAGGAGCAGATAATCTTACTGGAGGAGACAGACAACTGACAATCACAGTGCAAGGAGTAACGGCTGCATGCGGAATGCAGAAAACCCCATGGAAGCCGAAAGGAACTAGAAAAAGTACAGTAATTCAGGAGGGACAGAAGGAAGGAGAAAGGAGCATCTGAAAGGTTCCTAACAGGGAGGTGAGTGAGGGTTGGGTCTGTGAGGAGGACACCCCACAGAGGGAAAACTGCCTTTGCAAAGTGCTGGAGGCGAAACGTTCAAGGTCAGGATGGCGGCTGCAGGCGGTGGGTGTGTGGAGAAGTGGCAACAGATGAAGGTGTAAAAGCAGATGGGGGTCAGGTCGCACTGGAGATGGATCACACATGTCACACTGAGGAGACTGAACTTCGACTCCAACAATATTTCCAATTTAAATCTCCACAGTTATAATCCAATAATATGAAGATACTTGAAAATAAAGCAGTCACAGTGTCAACTGTAAATTTCAGTTGCATTGGATATTAAACCTTAAGTTATTAGTTTTTCCTTTGAATTAAAAGCTGCCTGAGGACAGAAATTATTTCCTCATCAAAGCACCTACTCCTTTTCAGTCCACCCAACAGTGGGCCCACTATAGATAACTGCTGAGCTCATTTCGTGGCAAGGCTTTTATTGAGTGTTTAATTTCCCATAGCATCCGACTAGTTATTGTATACGAACACTACACAGATCTGTTCTCAGATATCTAGAAGCTTATAATTTATAATTTAAAACAACGGTTGTTATTATTCTTAATTTTCAGAACTAAAATGTCATTGCTCTGTGTGACAGATTGAGAAATAAACTAATCATAAAAAGGCCATAAAAGCTAATAACTAAAGGAAATAAATGTACTGAAATAAATCAGTATAAAACTGTAAATGATCAGAATTTTCAGTTGTCTATTATGATTTATTTATTGAGTGAGAAATCTATTAACCTTTTGACATAGGAAGATGGGATTTACTAATTGAGTTAGAGGTGCTCTTCTTCCATTGTCATGTGGACTGATAATATTTACAACTTAAATAGCACCCTCTCTCAAAACAATGCCAACATTTTGATAAGTTACTGAAGTGGGATAGCGAAAACACCACCTATTCTCAGTCTTCACATGCATATGTGACACTGACTGTGACAGGCAGGTAATGTGGGACCTAACGCTGACGCACGGGTGTTTACCCTGACCCTCTGGGGCACGTGCTGACACATCAGCCATCGTCCTCCTGTTGGCCTGATGCCACCTTTGTTTTGAACAAGACACTCTATCTTTGCTGAAACTACCACATTGGCCCATCTGATAGTTATAATTTGCAGAGAATCAATTTCTAAGACTGATGGTTTAAAGGGCTTTTCCTCCCCACAGCCCACCTTTAGAAGCTGTTCAATCCCCCCATCAACAGACATTTGGAAAGGGGCCAATCTCTGGTCAGCAGTGTGGTGCTGGGCACAGTTTCTCAAACTGGGGAAAATATCTCCCCTGAGAATATGACCATAAATCTGGGAGAATATGAAGCTACGATATAAAAGGGTGTATCTTTCTGCCATGGTGTGCTCAATGGTCAATAAGTAAAAATGGTTTGGTATTAAAATAATATATGGAATATAATGAATAAAAAATGTGCATCCATTTTTTTAAAGATTTTATGTATTTATTTTCAGAGAGAGGGGAAGGAAGAGAGAAAGAGAGGGAGAGAATCATTAATTGCAAGAGATACATTGATTGGTTGCCTCTTGCTGCAACCCAGGCAAGTGCCCTGACCAGGAATCGAACCGGCAACCTTTTGGTTCTCAGGCCGGCACTCAATTCACTGAGCCACACCACCCAGGGCAAAAACTGTGCATCAATTTTTAAGGTAACAAATAAAACTCCAGAAAAGGTGCATGTTTGTGGAAGCTGGTTTTATCATGTCCGCAGAGAGTTGGGGTGACAAGTTTGTTCTGACCTTGACTTTTACCTCAAGCCTCTGTGTCCACACCAAACAGGAAAGGTATTTAATATGAAGATTTAAAAAACATATAGCATAGTGGCTGACAGAGCTAGGGTATCTTTTAAAAAAAATCACTCCAAGTCACGCACCTACTTAAAACCTTTCAACAGCCATTTCTGCCCTTTGAATAAAGCCCTTCATGGCTCTGTCTCAGGCTCTAAACCCTTCAGGGCATGGGCCCCCTTTGGCACTCTGGGGAAGTCTATGTGATCCTTCTAAGAATAATGTCTTAAAATTCGTGAAATAAAATACATATGATTACAAAGGAAACAACTCCTATTGAAATAAAGTTGAAATATTAATGAAAAAACAAATTTGTCCTGTGGTAATATATGTGCTTCTCTATCAAAATCAAATAACAATACAGTGCAGGCTCTTTAAGTACAGTAATTTTGGAGTAGTGATGAACAAACAATATTCAGGAGATCTGCTACAAATGGAATTGGACATGAAGAAACCAGTGATTTTCAGTCGTGAAAGCCACAGGTACTCCTGCTACTACTGCTACTGTGGGTGTTTTCTCCTTGGCCTACATTTCTGAAGGAAGGAAATGCTAAATTTCACGTAGGTGTTAGTGAAGACGAAAATGCATTTTTCCCACCCAAGTTCATGGAACCCTGAATTCTACCCCTGGATCCATCAGAGGTCCAGGAACACAGGTAAAGGGCCCACACTCTGCCAACACTGGCTGCTGCCTCACTCTCCGGCCTCCCCTCATGGCGCCATCCCTTCTGCCTCCCACCCTGCGGCCCCACTGTTCCCTTGCTCTTCATACACATTCAGCGCAATCCGCCTGGGCCATCTGCTTTTGCTTTTCCATCTGGAGTGCTCTGCCCTCAGATCTTTGCTTTTGTTTTATCTCAGCTCAAATACCACCTTCTCCAAGAGGGCTGTTCTGACCAGCCCCATCTAAACTGGCCATCCGCCCCTGCCGCCCTGCTTTCCTCATGGTAGTTATCACTCTCTGAAATGACTGTGTTCCTCTAAATGTTCTGGTGTTTGTCCTCCGATTCCCTCCCTAAAAAACGAGCTCTGGGGAGCAGGGACCTCATCTACATGTTTAGGGCCACATTCCCAGCACCTAAAACAGTGTTTGGCACAAAGAAGGGGTCTGATACATGTTTGCTAAAGGGAAAAACAACAACAACAACAGAATTCCGCAAATGCTACTTCTCTCATTCTTCACTATTTTAGGTGCAATGGGGATGCACAGGGATGAGAGACAAACCCTGCCCTTCAGCAGTTACAGACTGGAGGAGGTGCACAGTGGTTGTCTGCGCACCTCTTCCAGTCAGAGTTCCTGGACTGTCAGAGTTCCAGTCCAGGCCGTCCCTCTCTGCTGTAGGACCAAGGGCAAATCTCTTCTAGGGCGTCAGTACCCTGGTTCCAGATGAATGGGTTGAGGAGATTTACCTGCCTGGTCTCATATGGTCTATAGTTTATGATCATTTAGAGCTAACAGTGCAAGATAGCATATGTAGCCAGTGCCTGTGACCTACGTGGAGGACAGACAGTTCACAGAGGAGGACAAGACTTGGAAGGACTCTGAAGTGTAGTCAACCTCCAGCAAATGAGAAGGAGGATCTTCAAAGTCATGAACTCTCAGTGGTGGAAGAAACTTGAAAGGCTACACAGCATGACCCCTGGGTGAGGCTTTGGATGTCTCTGTATGAGACCATTTCCGAAGATGTAACATAATACTCCAGCTCCTAGGTGCAGCCAGCATGAAGGCTAAGAGTATGGACTGTAGAACAGCATTGCCTGGGTTCAAATCCCAGCTCTGTTGCTTACTACTTCTTATGTGAATTTAGACAAATTACCTCTCTGTGTCTCATCCCCTCCTCTGTAAAATGAGAGTAACAACAGTATTAACTTTATGGAGTCAAGTTCAGATGAGAAAAGTGAATTCATATGCTTAATATACATTCAGTAAATAGTACTTATGGTTCTGCTGAATTGTTTCCTACTCTGTCAAACTTACTATATATTCCCCCAAACTGTTTTCTGCTTTCCTGTTGAAATTTAAATTTTACGGGCTGGAGACAACGGTTTGGAGTTCCTGCAAGACTACAGGCAACTTTCTCTTACCTTCTCCTTGACATTCACGTGAGTATTGAGCTCGGCCATCTTGTTTCTAGTGGAATAAGCCCTATAAAGAAGGGAAAAAAAGATTAACTTAAAAGTTTTAAAATCGATTTCCCAATGTGTTATTTTTATGCTCTCTTCCAACACAGTAAACAATTTCATTCAGATATAATCATAAATAGCATTTTGGAATGTAAAAATACTTTCAAGCTAAGCACTTATCTTATATATGTTCTAAAAGCATGTTACAGTAACTATGTAAGACAATGTAAAATATTTTATTCATACTGTATTGACATGAAAAATGACAAAGACAGGTATGCACACCCAAACTGTGTTTCTTCTTATTATGTAAAAGAAGGGTGGTCAAAGCCGTGAGAGGAGGAAAAGTGTACCTGTATTAACTAAGCATTGCCATTACAGCCCTTACTCTCCCAGAGCTTTTATCAGCCTCTAAATAATATAACAAGTATTTGTTGAGTCTTTCCTGCATGCATTTAAGCTCATCATGCACTTGTGAGGAAGAAACAGAAAGAAACAGGAGAAATGATTCCAGATTTAAATATAAGAAACACTGCGTATAATAGCGTTAAAACTTGCTTTTTCACCTGGCAACATACCATAAACATTCATACATTCACCATATTTTTAATGACCATAAATTCATAATCTTGAGTTTCAAAAGGACCCTTATGACTGCCCATAAGCCTTCTGTTTCCCTAAATTCTTTAGGGTTTCTGCCTTTCATGTCCAAGTTTCCTTGTGAAGTAGCCCATTCTGAAACGTATATTCTTAACATCAAGCTGTGGTGTTTTCCTTCTCATCTGTTCTAAATATTTCACCATTATTATGGAGCTAGATCTTACGTTTTTAATAGTTTCATCTATTTTTGAAATAGAATATAAACAACTTAAGATGAGTGAATGTATTGGTTCCAATTAGCAGCTAGACAGGCCAAGGTACCAGTATACTATTTGAATATTTCGTGCTTTTTGTCAATCAAGAACCAGTGAAACACTCTCCTACATTCTTTCTGATTTGTTACAAAGAGCGTATCTACAGTGGACACATTTTTCAGGGTAACTTGCAAAAATTCTCAGATTTCTCCCCATCATTTTCTCTTAAACTTAGATCTTCAATAAACTAAATTCAGATCCATTGCCTTTGGTTGATTTAAGGACGAAAGCTTGGCAATAGGTACTCTTAACTCTAGTACCACTCAAACAGGAATCCACATAGGTAGATTATTATATATTACCAAATGTTGGGGACAGTGAGGTTTTACTTTTATAATTTTCCAATGAAAGAGCCACGGACAGACACATGCCTGTGGGCACAGGAGCAGGAGAGGCCCTGCGTACTCCCACTGCGGCAGCTCCTTCCCAGGCACCCTGCTGAGAGTGCCCGTCCCACTAAACACCCCTCCCATTTAAATAACTCCCAACTGATGAATTTTACATACGACCTGACATATGGGAGAGAGTAAATAATACTAGCTGGCAAGTGGTATCATTCCCATTTACTCCTGCCCCTGAGAGTTACTAGTAGAAGAGAAGACAACAGGATTATTTTCGCATTGTGTGTCCCAGTGAACAGAGATCACGTGTGAGGTACGAGGACAAATAACCAGGTGTTGCTGTTTACCAGCCATGCAGGAGAAGTGAAACCTTTGATCAGCCATCACAATGCCTTGCAAGATGGTCTACAATCACACTACTGGGAGACCTTTGGATGGTGGATTTCCTTATTCACACAGAAGTTTTGGCATTGTGTATACACTTTATATTTTGGGGAGCTTTCTGTGTGTTCTAGTGTATGTATCAGTAGGTGAGAGAGTCAGATGGGGGAGGAAGTGGGGGAAAGAAAGAGAGATATGGGTTACGCCTGAGGAACTGTAAAGGATCGAAGGTGACAGCTGGATTTGGCACTACTGTTGGCATGGATCTGTGAGCTGTGGCTCCTCTTGTTAGACTAGATTAGCTAAATCTTCTGGACACCTCTAATCTTGCCATTGTGGAGATCTGTGAAATCCGAGAGAAGAGGTTTATTGTTTTTGTTTTGCTTTGATGTCTAGGATCTGGGTATGCAGCATTTTGTAAAGCTAGTATGTTCTAATCCGCAGAGGTATGAGGGAGGAATTCCACTGAGAACAACAAATTTCTGGGATGGCAGCACTGAATGGTGACCTATAGTCATAGGATGAAAAAATGAATGCACGTATATAGTATTCATAGGGCAATATATATACACACACACATCCATACACAAGGTCTGTCCAGAAGGTATCCAGCCATGTAATATGAAAAGCAGAGACATTTAATTAAGAAGACACAAGATACAAGAAACAATGTACAAAGGACAATGATGCCTCAGTCCCCTCCAAAGTTATGGCTTTCTTGAGGCCATAACTTCCAAGTATATCAAAAACTAAATTCTCGAGGAAATCTGGTTCACTAGTAGCAGTTTGAATCAAGTCATTAGCAACTGCAGCACGATGTTCCTTCTGCTCTGTAGCAGAAGCTGCAGACTGCATTTTGGAAGGACTGTTTCATGCCAAGATCCTGCACCAAAATCTTGACACAGTAGTTTTTGGAATCCCCAGATCAGCTTCTAGTTCTCGCAGTGTGAATTGTTGATCTTTGTTGATTGCAGCCCATACACATTCAACATTCTCAGGTGTTCTGCTTGTTGCAGGCCTTTCAGAATGTGGATCGCTTGAACAGATTCTCGACCATCTTTGAAGCATTTGTGCCACACTTGTATGTGTGCCGCACTCATTGCATCATCCTTGAAGGCCTTCTGAATCACCCGAATAATTTCCGCAGAGCTTGTTCAAGCTTAACACAAAATTTGATGCAGACTCATTGCTCTACTCCCTCAGTCATTTGGAATGCCATGGCCACACAGTACACATGCTCACTCAATGGTGTCTACTGTCCACATTGACTAGTACAGTGAAGTTGTCATTGTTCACACATGCTCATTCCAGTCCACTCTCCTTGGCTATCAGGTTACATCGGTGTTGTGCAAACCATTCTTGTTATATTAACAATGGCTGGATTTTTTTCTGGACAGACCACACACACACACACACACACACACACACATTTCCTTAGCAATTCCCTTTCTCTTCAATCTCAAAGTCTGATTCAAAGAAAGCTCTTTTTTGGTGGTGATACCAGTAAGATTAATTACAACATTATTTTTTGTGTGGAAGAAAAATGTTGGCTATGCGGTTAGAATAAGGCTATTACAGGTTTCTCAGATAGGATAGCTAAGATAAAAAATAATTATACGGCGCTGTTCGTTGCTCATTTGACTCTTCAATTTGCTTCTCCTACATGGAGGACTGCTTCTGCAGCCTCTACTTTGCAGGTGAATTCCAATGCCCTCTATGCACTGAGGCTTTCTATTGGCTGGCAAACCACAGAGGGATTGGAAAATAAGCTCCAGCTATGGACACTAGATGAAGGATTTTAATGTAAACAGAACATGAATCCAGTGTGCCTTAAAGAATTAGGAATTTAAGTGACTGGATAGTCAAATTGGGTTCTATTGATAAGGACAACTGCTAGGGAAAGGATGGGACAAGAGAGGATGATCACAGTAGTCCTCGCTGAGTGTCCAAAGCCCCGAACTGGCACTAGCCCCTCCAGCATATTCGAAAGCACACCTTGCACCGACATAGCGTTGCATGCTCTCGACGTTTCCTGAGCCTCTGCCCTATGACAATGAAACAAACGGTGCTGTGCCCCTATCCTTATGGGATTCTGTTGTCTGCTAGGTACTATATCGAGACAGATCAACTCAGTTTGAATCTTAACTGTTTAATTTAGGCGGTTAGGATCTTTGCCTCCAGGAAACATATTGTCACTCCTTCTCAACTGACAGGCCCAAAGTTCAGCCGCTTGAAAGCCCAGCCCTCAGAGTCGCAGACCCCTGGGTTAACCTGAGAAGCCTGCAGTGCTGGGAGTGAGTGACAGGTGTCTGGGGCCACAGACCTCCTACTTCCCTCACATCATGCTTGGTCACCGTGTGTGGCAGGGTGTCACTCCTGGACGTGACTGATGCCCATATCCTAACAGAGCTCAGTCACAAGAGTTTTACATCCACAAGAAAGGTATTGAAACTTCTTACTTCTTAGGAAAGAACTTGGTTTCTAATTCCTATTATCACTTAAGAATGTTCTTCAAATCAATCAATTACTGAGGCCTAACTATTTAAATCTACAATACATTTTCCAGGTATATAAAAAAATAAATATAAAATTAAGATAACCAGAAATATGTCCTGATACTGATGGAATATTTCCGTAGCTTAGGTATTATTTGAAATATTTTTCCTCTAAATTTACTTTAGTTTTCACTAATAACATTACAAACATATATAGCTGGCATTTAAATTATATATATCCTAGAGAAAAAGAAAGATCAAGAAATTGTAGACTGAAATTTTATTTATGAAATAACCAATTAATCTTACTTCTTTCTATATATATTTCATAGTCAAACCTTATTACAAAAAATATGACTCCAAAAGAAAAGAATTTCACCATTTATCATTAATATATCAATCTATATACTTCTCCAGTGGAAAGTTAATAAACCACAAATATGGCTACCACCAATCAATTCATCCACAGTTATGCAAACTGAATTACTCATTATGCAAAAATATTACTTAATATGCATTAATGCCAGTCAGAAAATTTATTAGTGTATGACAAAGACAAATATTCTTTATGAAAAATAAGACTAAATAGTACAAATTCTGGCAAATATGTTTCTTTCAGCATTTCTAATTAATGCAGTACAGTGAAGTTTAATAATATATGACCATGTGATTAACAGTTTAATATATATATTTACATTTCTCATGTAATCATTTAAATTTAAAAGCTAGAACAATGTATTAAAATGCCAAATTGCGTTCTGACTTCCCTATTACTGCTTTTCCTCATGCTTTGTTGTGTAAGTAGTAATAAAGTTTCACTTTCGTTTCCCCAAAACCTATTCCTGCTTTTGGATTCACTTTCTTGTTCTCAGGTATTACGTCATTTTTCTT